TATTATTATTATTATTATTATTATTATTATTATTATTATTATTATTATTATTATTATTATTGCAAGTATTTTGAGAATTATATTGATAGTTGATAGATTTATGTTGATATTCACTAGAATGATGATTTTGTATATGATTATGTATAGGTATATATTTTTTTATATTGTGTTCAAGTTGAAAATAATTTGGCTGTATCTTTAAAATAGTTGTATCATCAGAATTAGAAAATGAATGTCGTTTTTCAATTTTATTGATAAATTGATTAGATTGTTCTTGATTTTGATGATATTGAGTATGTAAAGAAAAAATATGTTCATTATATTGTTGATTATGTTGTAATTCCCTATTATATTTTGAAGATGATTCATGAGTCTGTTGAACATTAAATTGATCATTTAATACAGATACAGGTGAAGAATTGCTGTTTACAGAATAATACTGTTGTTTTTCATTATTTTCTGCTTTATAAATAGTTGAATTATTTTGTACATAATAATTTTCCCATGGATCTTGAAACTCTGAGAAATCTGGTGGTTCCAGATATATGTTATTTTGCGTTTTGTCTTGTATGTCTGTACAAATGGGACTTTTTGGAACATAGGATTCAAAAAACATAGGAGAAAATTCGTGCCAAATTGGTGCCAATGTGCTGGTAGCCTATACAAGCATCATGCCAAAACAGAAAAATGCACATTCAATTGGTTAGTGGGAAAACTAATTTAACAGTGTCCATTTTTCTAATATTAAATTTAATAAAAAATACTATTAAAGAATAATTACAGAATAATTTTTAGCATACTTAAAAATTTATATATAAATTTATATGTTTATTTATCTTTTATGTATTTGTATATGTATTTTATTTTTTTATTTAAAAAAATAAAATATAATTTACATGTTATACTTACATTCTAATACAAATTAGGACACTATTGCAACCACTACAATAATTACATAAGATATATATATATATATATCTTATATATATATATATATATATATAAAAGAAGTAAATAGTANTATATATTTATATATATTTTTATATATATTTTATATATATATATATATATACACAAATATTATTTTAATTCAGCTATTAATATTTAAATTGAAAAATATATTAATATAAAAAATTATAAATATATTTTAATAAATGTAAAATTATAAAATACCAT